TTGTTCAATCACCGTATAAGGCCCTATAAAACGACTGAAGAATTTTTCACATAAGCCGGGCACACGCACGGGAGTTCACTGAAGAACTTCGTCTCCTGGGGAAAAGGTGACAGCACGGTGAGTTGAGTCGTAGCGAGACTTGCGAGCTTCCTGGGAGATGCCGGTGTTGATTCGGGCCAGATGACGGCAGTGCTCGAGGTGAGACAAAAAATGTGCGGATAAAGGGCCTGCTGAGGTAGCAGGAGCCGAAAGAAAAGAGACGTCCAGAGTTACACTTGGAGAGGGGCCATGGACCAGAAAATAGGGAGAAAAGTCGGTGGTGCGTTGCGCAGCTGAATTATAGGCGAACGTTACGAACGGCAAAATGGCGTCCCAGTTCGTGTGGTCAGGGTTAACGTACATGGCAATCATGTTCGAGAGGGTACGATGAAAGCGTTCTGCCAAGCCATTTGTTTGAGGATGATAAGTAGAAGTTTTGTTGTGGATGGTGTTGGCGGCGCGTAGAACCTGAGCAATAATAGAGGAATTAAAGACCTTGCCGCGGTCGCTGTGCAGAACACGTGGAGCTCCATAGCGTAAAAATATGTTATGCAGAAAAAAATTAGCTACTTCAGCGGCTGTACCAGCGTGCAGTGAAGCGGTTTCCGCATAACGAGTGAGGTGGTCAACAGCCGTTAATATCCAACGATTTCAATTGGAGGTCACGGGAAGGGGGCCGCACAAGTCTATCCCGACGACTTGGAATGGCAAAGTGGGACAAGGAAGAGCTTCGAGAAATCCAGACGGTGCAGTAGTGGGTCGTTTCCGCCGTACACATAAGGCACACGAAGAAACATATTTGGCAATTGCGGATGAGAGGCCAGGCCAGGTGAACCGACTGCGTATTTTGTCGTACGTTTTGTGATAGCCGAGATGCCCAGCAGCAGGATCAACGTGGAATGTCTCAAGAACCTGACGTTGTAGGCAACGTGGTATAACGGGAACTCATTTGTTTCCTTCAACGTGGTAAATATAGCGATGTAAAACACCATCGTGAAGCTTGAATTGTTTCAGTTGTCGGCGAAGTGGGGCGTTCGGAGGAGTGGATGTACCTTCTAAGCGTGCTATTATTGAGCGGCAGTAAGGGTCAGTGTGTTGATGCGACACAAGGGTAGAAGGGCGGCCGAATCTTAGCCAACTGAGACCTGCGATGGGTAATGCTGCGGTGGAAATAGGCTACGGTGGGCTATTATGGTTAGGTAGAGGGCTGCGAGAGAGAGAATCAGCATCTTGCTGCTTCTTACCAGACCTGTAGACGACATCAAAGTTGTGCTCTTGTAAACGAAGCACCCAGCTACCAAGAAGACCCGATAAGTTCTTTAGCGACGAAAGCCAGCACAATGCGTTGTGGTCAGTGACGACTGTGAAGTGGTGGCCGTGGAGGTATGGACGAAATTTTTGTACCACCCATACAACAGCAAGGCACTCTTGTTCGGTTATTGTGTAATTTTTCTCGGCAGCAGTCAAAGCACGACGGGCGTAAGCAATGACACGTTCGCGTGCGGTGTTGTCACGCTACAGTAGAATGGCACCGAGACCATGACCACTGACGTCAGTGTGAAGAATTGTGGGTGCACCTGGATCAAAATGACATAGTACCGGGTACACATTCAGACACTGGTATTTGCCAGTAGCCCGATCACAGGTCAAGGCTTGAAAAATACTCTGCGCCATGCAACGAATGTAGTGCATCATCAAATTCGTGAGAGGGGGTAAACATCTGTGCGCGTTATTTTGTTCAGTGCCCGGTAATCAACACAAAAACGTATCGTTCTATCTTTCTTTTGCCCCAACACAACTGGCGAAGACCATGGACTCGAGGAAAGACGTATGACATTCCGTCGAAGCATGTCTGATACGTTTTCCTCGATTATCTTCCTTTCTGCGAGAGACACGCGGTATGGGCGCCGGTGAATTATTCGGGAGCCATCAGTCTGAATTCGGTGAGTCGCAGAAGTTGTCATACCAAGGACAGCGGAATGAACGTCAAACAAAGGGCGGTGTCTGTTCAATAAATTCAGCAATTCTTGACTCTGGGCTGCTGTCAGATCAGGGCTTATCGTCACCAATGGAGGAGTGGGAGAGTTGAGTGGTGGCGTGCTCGGCTCTGGTAGGTCTTCTTGACTTGGAAGGGCAACAATCGCAACGGGATGCGTGTCAATAGCGCATGTGACTGTTGATCCACAGGGCAACAATAAGAGTTCGGGGGTCTGATTTAACGCAGTAATAAAAGCAGACCCTTCAGAAAAACGAACAAGGCCTGGAATGATCGGAATGCCTCGATGTACCGTGTTGTCATAAGGTAGTAGAAGCACGTCTCCATGCACAATGATGCTGCAATCAACGCTAATTACTTCTCAGGGTGGCCAAAGAACCTAATCTGAAGTGGTGACGAGACGAATGCGCTCTTCGCGTTCCAATATAGAAGAGTCGGTGGGATTGAGGTGGATGAGGCGCTGACGACAAGATATAGAAGAGCGTGCAGACGACAGAAAATCCCACCCCAAAATGACTTCGTGGGTGCACTCACGGAGAACTGCAACAGCAATATGATGACGAATACCGTCTATGAAAACACGATCTGTACACTGAGCGAGTGGGTGACAAATGGCGTTCATCGCAGCACGAAGAGACGGGCCAGAGTAAGGTGTTTTTACTTTGCGGAGACGGGAGCAAAGGTCAGAGCAAATAATGGAAATAGCAGCGCCAGTATCCACTAGAGCTTCGACGCGTATACCTTCGACTAACACTGTTAACAAGTTCGATGATCTGTCTGGAGAAATTGCTGGTTGTCCGGTGGATGCAGTTTCCCCTCCTAAAACTGCATCGGGGAGTTTTTCGAGTGGGCATTCAGCACATTGGAGGCTGTTCGCAGAGATGACACGGAACAGCGACTGGGAGATGGTGAGCGGCGGCGAGACTCACGGGAGTTCACAGGCAGACCACTACTGGAAGATGGAAAGGGCGAACGCTGAAAAGAAGACCGGTAAGGCGTGTGCTGGTAGTTCCTAAGCGGACTGAAGCGTCCGCGTTCCTCTGGAGCATAGCCACGTTGCTCGTCCTGTTGACGCCTTCGGCAAAAGCGAGATACACGACCCCAATAGCCGCAATTTTAACAGATTGGGCGTTGAGGACGCGGCATGGCGTAATACGGCTGTGGGCGCATCGGTGGTGACACTGACGCCACAGGTACATGGCCACCTGGTGAAGCCGCTGGGATAGTGGTGGGTGCTGAGAGCGCCGCAACTTCTGCGTACGTTGGTACCTGACGAGGTCTGGATTCGGCGGAACAAGGTGAATGTGACGCAGATGCAATCTCTTGCCTAATGATGTCCTGCAAGTTGGTTGGAGCTGAGGCTAAAGTAGATGGTTGGGCACAGGAAGAGCAGCGCCCATGAAACTCCTCACGAACGATGTCACGGACCAGGGCACAGATGTCGAGGGCCGCAGAAAGACGAATGTTCGAGGCGTCATGGCAAAGACGAAGAGACTGAAGTTCTTCTAGTCTCTGGCAAATGGTGATGCCATCTTGAGTCGTGGTAAGGTTTTGCGACGCAAGGGCGTTGAATGCGATGGTATTTATGCTTTTGATAACATGGCGTATTTGTTCGCTTTGAGGCATAGCTGAGTTTACACGCTTGCACAAGGCAAGAACATCCTCAATATACGAGGTGTATGCTTCACGCGCCAGCTGAATGCCTTCAGCAAGCTTTTTTGTTGCTGCTTCAGCGCGAACACTGGGGGAACCGAAAATTTGACGGAGCTGCCGTGCGAACGTGTCGCAGCCGGGAAAATGTTGGAGGTGGTTCCAAAACCAGGTTTTGGCAACATCAGTTAGGTAGAAAGGAACCGTACGCAACGTGTGTAGAGTATTCTACCTGTTCAACTCGCTGACGAGGTCGTAGGTGTGAAGCCATTCTTCAACGTCATCCGCTTTGAGACACGAGAATACTGGCGGATCACGCTGGTGGCTGTGGATGGCCAGGGTCGACGGCGGAGTCTGCACTGGGCTGGTGCGTTGGATGGACCACGATTGTCTTGCACTGCCATGGCAGGTGGTAGTAGACGACGACCCGAGTGGAGCTCCAGTGGTAACGTGCGAGAGGACTTGGGGATTGAGAAGCACCGTCCACCACTCATGAGGAAGAGCTTTATTTGAGGCGAGCTCGAGCTGTCACACACTGATGATAATATCTACAGATGAGGAAATTATACAAATGATGATGACACGTCCAATTGATAAAGAAGAGTCATTGACTGCGCTCACAGTATATTAGAAACAATATGTTCCACTAGCCTAAACACGCAGTTAGTCATCTTAGCATTACGTAATATGTATACAAAAATTATGTGACCAGCGGGTAGGTGCTATGGAATCGTGAACTTCAAGTTTCGGTTCCTGATGCGTCAGGCAGTGATTGAAAAAGTGGTCATAACTTTTAAACAGCTGAAGATAACTACATAATCTTTCTTAAGTACTCTTCGAAGCACAGGGACTCAAAAATATAAAAGTCCATAAAACCAATCTTTTTCAAAAAGTGTGTCGTTGAAAGTGGTGACCTATCTTGATTGAAAAGGTGAATGACCATCCTAGCTATCCGTGTGCTGCGGCTAGCACTTTTTACAGTGGTGTCTTATATTTTTGCTTTGCATTGTGGCTAATACTTAGCCTGGGCATTTTTAACATTTCTCTTGCTACGCCAGGCGCGTAGCCGGAAACAGGAATGGAGGCGGGGGGGTGCATGTGTTTGTATGAGTGTGTGTATATATACACATAGGAAATAAAGAACGGGTAACCTCTCCACCACTCTACCTAAACTATATCACACTCATGGTAGTAGGGATGTTTAAAAACGTAGTGGCACTCTTTTAATCTTAACGATATCGCATAAATGGTGCTTAGGTACATGATTATCTACAAAAGGTCCCACGCGGCGACAGCATTTCACGTCACTGCTTACCGCCATGCGTGTTCCTCGTGATGACGTAGCCATCCACTCGCTGCCATGACGTCACCCACACGTGGTCCCCCAAATGGCTGGGAATGGGGCACTGAAGCAAAACCGGATTGCCAGCGATCACGTGCTTGTCCGAGAACCGCATGTCATAGTTGGTGTCAAGAACTGCGAGAAAGAGAGAGAAATTATTGTAGATACATGAAGTGAATGCTGATGATCAAGAGAAGATCCGTTGAGAAAATCATAAAGATTGTAAATAATGTTTATTTTTAAACCGCACGTACGCTATGTACGCTATGTAGACAATATTCCACAGAGATAAACCATATGCGCACCATATACGCTCAGTAGGCGATATTGCTATGGTATTGCTTACAGATAATGATAAACTATATAAATATTGTTCATTTTCAAATAATACGCGCATTAAATTCACTCTTTGCAAGGTACTTGAACAGAGATAATAAGAAACGATGTAAATACTGTTTCTTTGGGAAACATGCGCATGCTATGTACGCTCCGTAGACGGCATTGCGCACAGATAATAATCATGTATATTTACAAACAATATGAGCGCTATGTACGCTCTTCAGATGGTATACTGCGCACATTATTCGCATCTGCACTTCGACTAGGTACGACGGCAACCCTTGGCGACAACGGTCAGGCATCGTGAGAGCCTAAGGAGTTTTGCTCCAAAAAGCCGTTATTACCTGTTTACATGAATACGATCATTAGAAGCGAATCAGCTTGCGGTCGAGTACAATCCGGTGTGCGTGCTCACTCTTAGGCCGCGTTCACACTGAGCATTCCGGCCGACGAAAGTGCTCTGAATCTGGTTCGGTGGCGGCGAGATCCGCCGAAAGGGCCCTCTCCGCGCCGATCGCTCTCGGACCGATTTTTGCGGCGTCTGCCGCCGAATCGGTCACCGCGGACCAATAGGCGCGCTAGTCAAAGAATTTTGAAAAATGGCGGCCAAGCCCTACTTACTTGTTATGCCACAGTGCACGTGACTGAATGTTGAAACCAATGGGAAACCTACTCTCTGCCTACTTCGCGTTCGTATTTCGTGGAAGAGGTGACCGAGCTTGCTGTTGGCATGACCGAGCTTGTTGCTGTCTTGCAGAGCAAAACAAACCCACCAACGCCACTGCCGTCGGTAGGTTTTTCTGCTCTTCATGCATTACAAGACAACCACTTGCCAGCAAAGTAAGCACTACTGTCTCTTCTTGCTGCCTGCGTACGAGAATCATCGACGACTATACCACCGCATAGCCTAGCGGCATTCGCGAATCGTGACGGCAACTGGGTTACAGCGCATCCATCCCGCGTTCGCCCCGTAGTAGATGGCATATTGGGCGGTGCGGGGCACGTCCAGTGCGAAGGACGCTGCGTTTCGGCGGCAGGAGAATTTCGGTCGCTGTAGAAAGCGGATGCTTCAGTGTGAACTAGGGTTAAGGGGCTGAGTAAGACGCTGTAGCCTCTCCCCTTACACTTCCTCAGCAATCATACGATGGCGTCAGTAAACGAGATTCTGCTGACCCGCGATGAACCAACGCGTTGCATTCTAGTCGACACTCGCTGGCACGCGCAAGCACGTTCGGGTCAGCGTAAGTGGCTGTTCAAGAGGCTGTGGCCTCTCATCCTTACACTCTCCCACAGCAATCACGTGATGGCGTCGGGAAACGAGATTCAGAAGACGCACGATGCACGCGCGCGCTCCCGCGTGGCATGGCGATGAACTCAGGCGGCGGGCTCCGACAAGAGTTCGGGACGAGTAACTGCAACAAAAACTAAAGTGAAGTCATGGTGTGCTCCACTTGTAAGGACGAATTAACACTGGGCGATTTGCTCGTGAGCAATGGCGCTCACGAGCAAATCAGCTCACGAGCAAAGCAGCGCATGGTCAGTCCATGCGCTGCTTCGCATGCTACTCATGGTTGCCTTTAGTGGGAGATGGTGTAATATTCAATATTAAGAGAACAGCAAAGCGTATAGTACTCTGTAGTCGTATTTCTCATTCGAAAGATACGACTGGATATTTTTACACACATAAACCATAAATGCGTCACACAAAAAAGTGCCTGATCGACCATATTTCACGTAAGAATGAATGCAAGAAATTGTTAGTTTAATAGTTCAAACTTTATAGACACGACACTGTATTCATGACTTAAAATCTATATAAAAATTCCTGAAGAGGTCTGAGGAATATCCACTTCCAGTTATCTTAGGTCCATAATGACTGCAAATATGTTTTTTCTTTAGCTTGGAAACTTGCCCTTAGACAGAACTAACAAAACCGACAAAAATTAGGCCAGTGAAAGCATAGAAGATAATATATGAAATTCCTAACTGTGCTGAAATGATTGCAACTGAAATAAAAAAAGAATTTATTTGTCTATTAAAGTTAAAGCTGTCACTTTAGCGACAATCACGTGACTTGTCACACCCTCTGGCAAAAAAGAAGTCTCGACACTCACCGCCAGAGCTGCAGGTGCAGCTGGCTAACTAACACTCCTTGGTGGCAAGCCCACATAAACACTGTGTATAACAGTGACAGGAGGAGTGCCTTTATTTTAGCTCAATTAGTAGGGCTTCGGATGCGTAATTTGAAGGTTGTGGGTTTGAATCACACTGACAGAAAGGTTGTTCTTTTGACTACCTCGATTAATTTCAATTTAAGTAAGAACCATTACAGTAGGCTTTATGAGAAACCGTAGATAATGTCCCCCTATGTTTTCCTCAGATTAACAGGCTGCTCGTTTTATTAGCTGAGCATAATACCGAAAACGAGCCGCTCAGACGATTTTAGTTTTTTCGTTAAAAATACTAATACACAATGTGAAAAAAAAAACTCGTAAAGTTCGCTTAGTATATAATGTTTAACAGTGATTGTTTGAACGGTCAGTGAATTCTAGCATTGAAGTGAGGAAGATACCGATTAGCATCTATATGCTTTGTTTGTCTTTGTTATCTGCTGGCTTCGTATACAGTAAGGGCGATCAAGTCAGTGGATAGAAAAACACCATTAGATCACTGCACGTCTTTCAATCTGGTGACACAATAAGAAAATGAAAAAAATGACACTGCATATTCTTAAATAATTGGGCAACACGTGTTTATAGGTTTCGAATTGCCTTATCGAGTGACTGCTGCTAGGAAACTTAAACATCAGAGAATTATCCAGCGATGAACTGGTAGCTCTGTGAGCATCCATAAGAAGCCTGGGTTGATAAGAAACTACATGGAAAATAATTAGGTAGATGGAACATCAGTACGTTATTTTGTTCAGTCTCCTATACTCATAAAATCTGCCGTGGAGAAGCGCACGTGCACCCGGCAGCTTCCAATTTAATTGAGCTGAACTTAGCTCAATTAAATTGGAACAACATGAAAACAGATCGTGGCGGTCTTTTGTTGCATCGGGCACCTCACGCCTTCTTTCATATTGTGACAATAAGTGGTGTCATGAGTGAACTGATTCCAGAAATCATACAAGAAAATATGGAAACAAGCTAAGACAAAGACACAGCGCTAACGCGCTTGCTTATTGCTTTTATAAGCAACGATACGCAGCTTTTTTTAGTATCGCAATTGCGACTTCGACTTTAGGCGTTGAACACAAATCCGAAACCTGTTCAATTACGTGCACAATATTAAAGAAATTAAGAGACAGCGAAGCCTAAGTATATAGGTGGGCGTTATATGTGGTAATTACAATAATCAATTAAATGAATAAATTTAACGAAACTACAACTTGCCACCTGCACGTCAAACCTGTAACCTTCGAGTAACGTGCGCGATGCCCTACCTACTGAGCAGTGGCGGAGGTAGTCCTCCAGTTCACTTTCTTGGAAATAATTCGGCTTTTAGGGTCCCCTTGACGAGGGTCTCGTCCTGGCATAATGGGTGCCTTCAGGTAGTACGGGGAGGGTTGTTTGTGAATTGACGGCTCATAACACGACCACGTTCCACGTGATGCCAGAAGGCGAATGAAGATTGTTCCCCGCTTGCCCTCACGGCTACAAACAGTGCTAACTAATACAGCCAAGTTTGAATGCACAGATATACTCCATAAAACATGTGGGAGGAAGACTCTCGCCCAAAGCTTAATTGGTAAAGCATCAGAAGCGTTACTTGAAGGTTTCGGGTTTGCTCTCTACCGTGGGTAACTTGCCTTTTTGTCCCGTTTGATCTCATCTCATTTACATCAAGACTACCTCTGGCCTTCATCCTTCCTTCCTCTGCCTTCCTTCTAGATCAAGACTATTATAACTTAATGTGTATAGAAAACCTCGACCCTAGTTCTTTTTTGTCAACTAATCCACGGTAGCAGAAGACGTGTCCGTTTTTAGCACAGTATAATCCTCACGTGTCCTCTTATAACTTCGCTGAGGCCTATTACATCCCATTTCACACCCTCTAATTCCTCGAATAGAACAGCTAGACGAGCCTCACTAGGCCACGTTCTAGCGTTGAACGTAGCCAAAATCAGATTCCAGTCGCGGCCTGTCCGGACACAGAGATCCTTAGCACCCGACGCTGCGCAGCAGGTCAGACCACCGCCTTGAACAGTTGCTTCGCAGCCGCTGGGGACTGAGTGCCAAAGGTTAATTGGTGCGTTCATTACAGTTCGCACATCGTAGACTATATTCTCTCGACCCATCTGTACGACTGCGACTACCTTCAGGTCTATCTAGGCAGGAAGCTACAGTGTCGTGTTCTCTGAGTGTAGGCGTAGCCTTCACTAATGCCTGCTCATTTAAAATAGGAATGGCGACAGCGTGGACTGCAATGACTGCACCGTCAATTATACTATTGAACACATCTTATGTTACTGTCCGGTATACAGAAACAAGAGGCCTCACCTGCTCGGTGTTTTAAATCAATTGGACAGAAGTGATTTCACTGTCGAGAAAGTATTGGGACCATGGGACTGCCCATCCATTTTCCGAAGCACAACGAAAGAACTGTTGTTTTTTCTCACAGACACCGGCCTGTTTCATCGTTTGTGATGTGAAACTGTTACGTGTCGGCCCAGTCAGTGACCGTTCTTCTCTTCTATACCTTTCTTTCCCCTCTCCCCTTCCACAGTAGAGGGTCGCCTACCGGTGCTCAGCCTGGTTAACCACCCTGCCCTTCTCCTTATGTTCTCTCTATCT